TTTTTTTTTTTTTCCCGTAACGCGGTGTGCACATTCATACAATACGTACACGCGTGAGCAAACGCATGTGTACGCATGTGTGTTCCTCTGCGGGCGTGGCGACTTCGTCACACACGAGGAGGTTCCATGCTTTGACGGGTGTGACAGCCAGAGTGGTAACAAAACAAAACCCAAAGAATGAAAAAACAAAAGGGCAAAATGAATGGTGAAAAAAAAAAAATGGCGTAACGCATTCAGTAATTGCGAAGCTGGTTTTTCATATTTTGTGCCCACAGTGTCCCTAACACATCAAACTTTTTACCATGCCAATATTAGCATTTTTTTTTTTTTTTTCTTTTCCGCCACACAAAAAGTGCAAATATTTATGGACAGGGCCCAAATAAGGCGATCAATGTTCACATTCTTAAAATTTCCCCAAATGTGCATGCATACGGCTATGCTCAAGGCCCAATTGGCGAAACATGTTGTATTGGTCGATACGCACATGTACAAAAGCGCGATTGTTGAAACGGACAAAAGGGAAAATCATTTCGTCTGTTGCTGTTCAGGCCATATGACTTTTTTTTTTTTTTTTTTTGTTCCTTTTTTGTATACCTCGGAGAACTGAGAATGGCTTGCTTTCCCATTTAGCTGTTTTTTTTTTTTTTTTTTTTTTTTTTTCTTGCACCAAATGGTGTACTTTAGGTGGAAAAAAATATGAACAAGTCAGGCAATAGGGAGAGGAACAAACAAAGTCAACTTAGAAAACGGGAAAGAAAAAGTGGAGAAGCTGCTTAATGGGGAACCCTTCACAAGGGAGTCTCACAACATGCACCAGTTTAGAACAAACAAAAAAGGACCGAGTGGAAAATTCGATCCATAAAAACGTATAAAAGGTGTTAATGCTACATTTTCCTTTAAAGATTGTTGGCCTGTGTACATGCACACACAAGTGTACTTGGCCGTTCAAATGGACATATAAGGATGTACCAAATTACACACGATAATTGCTTCCTCATAAGGAAGACTCGTTCGATAAATTGACTATTCCTTATAACACCAAAAAGGGGGGCAGACATGGAATAAAAACAAAAGGAACTACAAGGACGGGCAGGTGTTCCACTCCACTTGTGAAACAAACACACATTCGTTACGACGCAACTGCTTTGTTTCTTTTGCCTTTCTTTTCCTTCTCTTTTTTTGTTTCGCCAGAATGGAAAACGAAGGAGGAACAATTTTGGGTTGTTAGTTCACCCCCCCTGTCTCGCCGCTCAGTTCTTCCTTCCATAGTCGAACGCCCTCCGGTGTGTTTTGCTCTTATCCTCGTCCAAAATATGCTTTACATTTTCGTGGTCTTCATAGATTTGAATTTTGTTGGTGGTTATGTCTCTCTCCTTTTTCTTCATTTGGTATATCCCCCATTCCTGGATCAGAAACCGCTTCAGGTAGAGGAAGTAAATTATGCCCAGCACGCCGAAGGAAACTTTCTGAAGTGGGGAACGGGTTGTCGTGGTGACACGGTGAATATTTGAAGCGGTTATAGAGTAGCGCGTGTATCCTGTAACGAGCGAGTTAACACTGGACAACGCGCAGCTGGGAAGCACATCCACAGTACGCATGTGCAACATTCGCCATGGGAACCCCACGAGCCTCCGTCCCACAGGCGAGCAAGGGCCCGAGTAAGCGTTCAGCTTAGCCCCTGTGACATAGGGAAAGATCAAAAGTGCACACTACATTGCGTCGGTCAATTTGTGAATTAACACAGAAGAAGCGAAAAAGTAAAAAGGGGAAGAACAGAAGCAGTCCAGGAGCTATTTTATTAGATTTACTAAAAGAAGTGACGTTACAACGGCGAGGCTGCAAGCATACAATACGCGACACGAAACGCATGTTCTGCTTTGCTTATTTGCTCTTTTCATAACTTACCACACCATTCTCCCAAAGGAACTTTTTCATCTTTATGTGACATCAGTGAGTTTCCAAGGGGGGTGGAATTTTTGGCTGACGCTTAAAAAGGGGGTACTTAATTCTGAAGTTATTTCATATGATTAGCGCATTTTGTACATACATACTTACACCGTATAACGAAATTTAATGGCATGGCCATGCGCTACATTGTAGTGTCGTACGGGGTGGACGAATGGGCACCCCTTGCCATTTGTTGCATGTTTGGGGAATAGTGCCGTGGGGAACCTTTATTTGGCATTACCGTCGGTTGGTATTATGTGCACTTGGCTAATTTTACCACGGAGAAATTTTTCCACTTTCGATTTTTTTATTCCTTCATTAAAAATTCCTTTCAGTTGTATAAGCGACATAACGATGTTCACGCATCCGTGTGTAAAAAATTCATGGAATTTAAAAGGAAGAAAAAAAAAAAAAAAATGGGCAAAAGGTAGGTAAATTCAGAAATGTAGGTTTTGTGCATCATTCCAAGAACGTATACGGATGGGCAAAAGTGGGAGTAAAAAAAAGGGAGGGGAAAAAAAATTAAGAGCCATATGCATACTTATATATGCACGTTCATACACATATGCATATAAGCGCCTTCATGTAGCAGGACAGAACAGAGGAGGTAACCTCCCCACTAAAGGGAAGCTTCTGGACGATACGTAGGGGGTAGGATAAAATGGAAAAAAGTTCACACAAAAGGGATAAATGCTGCGTGTAGCATAAGCCGTGAGGGAAGGCAGCCTCCTGCTGCCCATCCTCTGCTGCTCTTCTTTTTTTGTCCCACCTTCATATAATCCCTCCTTAGTGCTTCTCCGTTGCGGCCTTTCTTCTCTGCATAATGACAATTTTTTGTATTTCTTCCCTCTTGGCCTTGCCCCTTTTATGAGTACCCAATTTTTTCTTGGCATATTTTAAGCTCCTCTTCGTGGCAGCAGAGGTACCGATTTTAATCAATTCGATTAATCTTTTTTCATATGGACTAAATCCAGTTATTTCTCTCACGACGTCATTTATAAGTTCCTTCCTGTGGGACTTTGGCTTCTTCTTCATGATGCTCTTTTTGACACTCCTCTTGGTGACCACATGTCCGCTGTTGAAACCGACTATAAGAAGGAGGAGGAGGGTAGAAGAAAATGCACCATTATTACACAAGTGGAAGTGCAAAAGGGATGCCTGCAATTAGTTCCAACTGGAACATTGCATTAGGGTACCCAAAGGGGGTGGTTGTTGTTAACCCTGATGGTGTTTGCTCTCACGCAAATACAATGGCCCACGCGTAAAGCAGGGGTAGGTACATTTTCTGTTCAGTGCGGAGTTGCCACGCACGGGCGATGTAGGGGGGCCGGGCAAATTTACTCAATCATGTAACGCGCGATGATGCAATCAGGGCATTGTTCTCACCCACGAATATCTATGTGTGACCCCCATATCATTTTCCCCCTCCCCGCACTGCTTCACGTGGTATGCAAAAAACCTTACCTGCTATCCCAGTCGCTGGCTTGATAGTTGATTTCCTTCCCATTTTTTGTGAAAGCAGAAAAAAAAAATGTTAAAAAAAAATTCGGAGGTAACAACAGATAGGGAATAAATTAAACTTTCAGATAAACCCTAAGTTCAAATGAACAAATTTTACAGGGGATACTCCAAATTACGATTTTTTATTTTTATTATCCAGCAGCAGCTGATTCATGCCGTTCTCAGCGGTTTTCTTTTTTTTCTTTCTTTCTGTTTTTTTTCTTTTTTTTTTTTTTCGCCTTTTTGTTGGAAAAGCATAAAAATATAAATTTGTTTTATTTTTAAAGCGGCGCTCCAATTGGGCGAACAAAAAAACGCAAGAGCATTGTGATGCGAAAAGAAAATCAACATGTGAAAGGAATGCTGTTCCGTGATACGCGTTACGAGAATTATGTATGCACTGCTGTCGGTATGCCCCCTTGTGTATTTATGCAACATAAGAAACAGTGGGAGGCAAAAGCGAGGGGCTCGGAAAAAAGAACAAAAAAAAAAAAGGGCCACGCCGTTAGCCCTGCAGGAAGAGAACTTACAGAGGAAGGCGCGAATTTAACATTGGGGTATGCAGATTAGCAGCTCTTAAGTAGCCCGTACATTATTATATACGTGCTGCGGAGTTTTTATATATGTTGCATTATGAGAGCTGTTCCTGCCCCGTTGCACATGGGTTTTCCATTTATATAAATGCGTGTTTAATGCGGAAGGCAAAAGTCGTGGTTGGGTGACTTTTCCGTTACCACCCCAAAAACCCGTTTGGGCAGGGAAAATACCTTAGGGTCACAAAGAAAAGCAGAGAGGCCAAGGTATATGTCATCATGTCACCCCCACATAATTATATGCGACACTATCCTCTTCACAGGGGCTCCCGGTCCATCCGCCCTTTCCCTGCTGCGGCATCGTACCTCCGCCCCATGGTGTTATCAGTGGTTACTTTGGTACGTGTCCTCTTTCCGTGCATTCGGCGTAGGCAAACCAAGCCACCTGCTGGGCGTAAAAAAAACAAAATTTAACTTTTCGTAGCTAGCTAAAAATTGCCAATTTTTTTTTTTTTTTTCGTAGGGGCGAAAATGTTTTTAATTTTCATTTGTTTTAATTTGTTTTTTATATTTATTTGCTTATTTTTTTTTTCCTGCTTATTTATTATTTTTTCTGCATATTGTTTTCCGGTGTATTTTTTGGGCTCCCTTTGACAAATCATGCAAAACATGCGTGAAAACACCTGTGGCGCGTGAAAAACGCATTTTAACAAATTTTCTGCGAAAGGGCTAAAACGATTTCCCCCCCAACAACGCTGTTTTTTTCTTTTTTAAACATATCACTTTCGAGCACAATTAAATTTGTGTTTGTTCATATACATTACCTCCATGACCATTCGAAATGATCAACGTGTGAGGCAAACACAAACTGACGTCGTTGGGATGATATAGTTCCCCCCTGCTCAGCAACCCGTTTTGCTAGCGCGCAACACCTTTTATATACGTTTGGGTGTCATAAAGTAAAATGTAAGATGGTCCGGTGCATACAGAAATTTCAACATGTATACAATGCGTAAGAGTTTCTTAACAATGTGATGCATAACCGCACAGCTTGTGTTTACGATATTTGTATTCATTCACGTAGGTGAATCTGTGGTGGACAGGTTTCCTTTTTTTGGAATATTCCCCTTTGTATGGTTGTGCCCCCATGAGGCGGACACACTTTCGCGCACATAAAATTCCCTCCCCCTCCCCGCATATTACTAAACCAAAAAAGAACAGGGTCCAATGGACACTTGAATAACTTTTTTTAATTTTATTTTCTGTGATGATCTTTAATATAATTGACAAGCATATGTCTGAATATAAAATATAATTGATGATATTTTATACAATCTGAGAAAATAAAATTATTAGCATTCTCAATGCAGGGGGGGGGGGGGTGCATTCCGGTAAGGTGGAAAGTGTAGGACAGCAGGCAGTTAGTGACTTATTTCCTTCACGCTTCCCAAGCGTGTGTTGACCATGTGCATTGCGACCGCTGTTCCCTTGTTACGCAAATGTAAAGAGGGTTATAAAAAGGAGGCATAAAAAAATTCGATCATCGTGATGGAAATAATCAACAAAGGTTCACTATTAAAGGGATCGAATGCCCATACATTATTTTGCGCTTACTTTAAGGTAACATTTTTCTTCGTAACAAAAGGAGCGATCCTTGAGTTACATGTCCACCGCAAAAGCGAATGGATATAAGGACATTCCCCATTTTACGCATTTCCCTGATGAGTAACAGCGGACAGTTTGATTATTCAACCATCCGACCGTAAACGGTACAACCTGTTCTTATCCACTTTGGAGTTGAAAGGCATAAACTGCTTCCGCGTGGGTGTAAAATGCCCTCATCACGTAGTTTATTTTTTCTTCCCATTTGGGGTGGTGTCTGGCCTTATGGCCATTCCAATAACAAAATTGGCAATTACAAACGGGTTAAAAGCTTTTTGCCCACACAGAAAACGTAACCTGGGGACGTAGTTCCCACACTTTATTACAGAATATCAAAAGTTGGGACATATTGCTTTCATACCTGTGTTGATTTAGCTCTACGACGGTTAACATAGGGGAAAGGAAATTACCAATTGCCCACATGTATCCCCGTATGTGGCGGAATATATCCATCCTTTGATGATACATATATTTTTTTTTATGCGTCCCCACCAATTAAACAACAGTACAATGGAACATATGTACACAGGTGGGTAGAACGTTATATATATAACAGTGACAAATGTCTCCTTTTTGTGTCCTTTTAAATTATCACCAATCTGTTCTAAAGTTCATCTGGTGATTCATGCTATATATGGGAAAATTGTGAACAAGTCAGACCACTTATGTAGCTATGCTTTTTTTTTTTTTTTTTTTCTCAGCTAACCAAAATGGGATTTCCCAGAAAAAAAAAAAAAAAAAAACGTTCATGCAAAATAGCTGTTTATATAGGAAAAAAAACTTTCCTAAAAAAAAAAAAAAAAAAAAAAAAAATCCAAGTCCACAGTGTCGTCGCAAAAAATAAGTCCGCCCAAAAAGAGGCGGAAAAAATAAAATTTAAAAAATAATTATATTTTTAAAATAAAATTTTGTTAAGCATTTCATTTTTTCTTTTTCTTTTTCTTTTTATTTATTTTTTTTGTAAAGTTTTTAACTGGTCCAAAATTTTAATTTAATTTTTTTGTATAATTTAAATAAATTCCCTTTGATTCCATTTGTTTGTTCTTAATTCTTCTTTGCGCCTTTTTAAAGGGACGACATCCCTTTTATTTTTCTCCCGTCGCCAGTTGCGGCGAAAAGTAGTAGCGCGCAACGAAGAGGCTATGTATGTAAAATAGTACTATTACTTATGTACGTACGATTGGAACACGTGTTTTCTTGCGCATGTTTATGCGACCCAGGATAGGCAGCTGCTCCACCCCGCGTTCTACGTTTCACCAGTATGCCAACTGTGAAGCGAAGAATTTTTTTTTAACCGACCATTTGTGCGCGCCATATAAAATTTGTTTCATCGTTCGATAGCCAGTGGATTGAAAAAAGAGTGTATGCACAGATACAATATTCGTTCAATTCGAGTTTTTTTTTTTTTTTATCCTCACTGCTGCTTGTTCTTCATGTATATGGGGATAACCAGCTTGCCGGAAGGGTGTCACACCGTGTAGAGGTATATCACTCTGTTACGGCATTTCATTTGTATGTTTAATTTCTACACAGCACACAATTTGGTGAATTTTTTTTTTTTCATATTTTTACATTTTAACATTTTACATTTGTAAGAATGCCCTCCCTCCGTATGTACGGCGTAGCACAGAACTTGCGTCGACGAGACTCCTCCGCATTTTCGCCGTCCGTAATTTACGTGTATTTGTACTCATCCTCCCGAGCGGGCCTCCCTTTTTTTAAAAGGCCTTCAAAGTTTGTGATTTGTCCGTGTGTGTATAAAGCGCTTGAGCACAGCCATATACATTTATACGTACACACATATATGTACATATATATGTAGGCGGCCACTGCACCTGTACGACTGACTGCTCCCCTTGTTTTCTTTTCTTTGTTTTACCGCGCCTGCAACAATGACGAAGGTAAAAATAAAGAAAAAATTCAAGCACAGCGGAACGCTTGAAGAAGATTTAAAAAACAACGTCGTAACAAAGAATAAAATATTTAAAAAAAAAAAAAAAGGAACTAAGGCAGCGAGTGAAAAGAAAACAAAAAAAAAAAGAAAAGACGATGTTCAAAAAATTCTGAATCTGGCAAATAGACAAAACGAGGAGGATCTGGACTTCTCAGATTATGGTAATAGTATAAGTGGTGATGATGTCGATGGTGACGGATCACAACAGGTGGATAAGTTCCTCCAGTTTGATGACGACATAGGAGGGGAGGAGGGATTCAATGACGATGATGATGTGTCACATCGGGAAAATTTCATGGCGGACAAAATGGTGTTGTCCGCGCAGGAGATTAGCCATTATGATACAAACGGGATGGATGAATCGAATAACATTTTGGATGATCTGGATGTGAAAATAAATCCCCTCGGGATTGAACGGGGAGCCAAATTGGACAATGGGAAAGAGGTCAAAGCGGAGACCTCCGAACAGGTAATAACCACTTCTTCATCTCGTTGCGGAATAAGAACAAAAAAAAAATGTTACCAAACGGATAAGAAAAATAGTGTTGGTGATGGTAGACAAAGTGCCAATTGCAAGCGGGCATACGTGAAGCGCCCCTCCCCCAAGAAGCAATTTTATTTTTTAAAAACTAGTACCCATCGATGGCGTTTTCGTATCTGCAGTGAAATCTGCGCACACGAACGCTTACGGTGTGAATGAAAACCCTAGTTG